CCGTTATCTTTGAAAACTCATGGCGATTGGGGGAGGTCCCAGATGCCCGGAAAAAAGCTAACGTCGTGCCCATCTTTAAAAAAGGGAAGGAGGAGGATCCTGGGAATGACAGGCCAGTCAGCCTCACCTCAGTCCCTGGAAAAATCATGGAGCAGGTCCTCAAGGAATCAATTCTGAAGCACTTAGAGGAGAGAAAAGTGATCAGGAACAGTCAGCATGGATTCACCAAGGACAAGTCATGCCTGACTAATCTAATTGCCTTCTATGATGAGATAACTGGCTCTGTGGATGAGGGGAAAGCAGTGGACGTGTTGCTCCTTGACTTTGGCAAAGCTTTTGACACTGTCTCCCACAGTATTCTTGCCAGCAAGTTAAAGAAGTATGGGCTGGATGAATGGACTTTAAGGTGAATAGAAAGTTGGCTAGATTGTCGGGCTCAAAGGGTAGTGATCAATGGCTCCATGTCTAGTTGGCAGCCGGTATCAAGTGGAGTGCCCTAAGGGTCGGTCCTTGGGCCGGTTTTGTTCAATATTTTCATTAATGATCTGGAGAATGGTGTGGATTGCACCCTCAGCAAGTTTGCAGATGACACTAAACTGGGAGGAGTGGTAGATATGCTGGAGGGTAGGGATAGGATACAGAGGGATGTAGACAAATTAGAGGATTGGGCCAAAAGAAAGCTGATGAGGTTCAACAAGGACAAGTGCAGAGTCCTGCACTTAGGACAGAAGAATCCCATGCACCACTACAGACTAGGGACCAAATGGCTAGGCAGCAGTTCTGCAGAAAAGGACCTAGGGGTTACAGTGGACAAGAAGCTGGATATGAGTCAACAGTGTGCTGTTGTTGCCAAGAAGGCCAATGGCATTTTGGAATGTGTAAGTAGGGGCATTGCCAGCAGATCGAGGGACGTGATAGTTCTCCTCTATTCGACATTGATGAGACTTCATCTGGAGTACTGTGTCCAGTTTTGGGCCCCACACTACAAGAAGGATGTGGATAAATTGGAGAGAGTCCAGCGGAGGGCAACAAAAATGATTAGGGACTGGAACACATGACTTATGAGGAGAGGCTGAGGGAACTGGGATTGTTTAGTCTGCGGAAGAGAAGAATGAGAGGGGATTTGATAGCTGCTTTCAACTACCTGAAAGGGGGTTCCAAAGAGGATGGATCTAGATTGTTCTCAGTGGTAGCAGATGACAGAACAAAGAGTAATGGTCTCAACTTGCAGTGGGGGAGGTTTAGGTTGGATATTAGGAAAAACTTTTTCACTAGGAGGGTGGTGAAACACTGGAATTTGTTACCTAGGGAGGTGGTGGAATCTCCTTCCTTAGAAGTTTTTGAGGTCAGGCTTGACAAAGCCCTGGCTGGGATGATTTAGTTGGGGATTGGGTCCTGCTTTGAGCCGGGGGTTGGACTAGATGACCTCCAGAGGTCCCTTCCAACCCTGATATTCTATGATTCTATGATATTCTAGGATTCTAACAAAGATGGGATGCTTCATCAGCTTTTCCTGGAAAACGGCTTCCGCTATCATGGGTTACTGATGGGCACTGTATTGGGCTGAGGTCCGCAGTTCATTTCCTGATTCTGGTGGGAATTTCTCAGACTCTTTGGCATCAAGCCAGTCACATCTTCCACCTATCACCTGCAGACTAGTGGGCAGAGAGTCAATCAAATCCTGAGCAGTATCTTTGCTGCTTTTGAGTTGTCACCAGGATGTCTGGCTTTCCCTGCTACATTGTGCCAACTCTGCATATAACAATGCAGTCCACGCCGCAGTCCAAAGTAGTCCACTTTGCAAACTATGGCTTTCACCCTCACTTCCACACAGACTGACCTGTGAGCTCCCCAGTACTAGTTGCTGAAGATTTAGCTTCCCACCTACACCAGGTGCATCGGGAGCGCAAGGAATACTTGCGGTCCTCCAAAGAAGTCTATAAACATCATGCACATCAAGACTACCAGGCTGCTCCCCAATTTGGCCACAGGCTCCCATGTGTGGCTCTCTGCTCAGAACCTTAAATTGAGCTGCCCATCCACCAAACTAAACTACCAATACCTGGGCCCCTTCAAGATTACAGAACAGGTAAAGCCAGTGGCTTTCAGGTTACAGGGTCCCAAGTCCTTGAAATCAATCCCATCTTTCGTATCTCACTTTTAAAGCCCTGCATTGATGACCCATACCCAAACTTCTCCAACATGCCAGCACCACGCATAACAGTCTGTGGACAGGAAGAATACTTGATTCATGAAATCCTCATCTCTTGGCAAGTTAGGGAAAGGCTCCAGTACCTGGTGGCCTGAGAATGTTACTGTCTGGAGGAGCCATGCTGGGAACTGGTAGAGAACATCCACACTCCAGACCTATTGCAAGAGTTCCATCAGAAGTTTCCCAAGAAACCAGGCCCCAAGGAGGCACCCTCGGGGTGAGGGTCAGGGGATACTGTCAGGAAGCAGGGCCTGCAGCAGAGCCAGTTTCTGGATAACCGAATGAGCCCAGTGGGCCTGTAGTCGGCTACCTTATTGGCTACACCACCTGACTGGTGGGAAGAGTCAGCAGACTGGCTCTTAAGCCCAGAACCAGTAGCTCAATGGCTGCTCAAAGTATTCAACCACAGTTGCAACAGCTCCTGTGCCTACCTGTTCCCAGCCTGCTCCTGCCTTGATCCAGCCCTGCTTCAGCCTTTGATGCAGCCTTAGGTCACTCCAGAAAACCTGGTCCTGACTCTCAGCTCCCATTCCTGACTTCAGCGCTGACCCTTGGCTCTGATTTCTGAATACAAACTCCTGCTCTAACCACTAGGCATGGCTGCCAACGTTGAAGTCACTGACGATGCCTGCCTAACAATGATGAAATGAACATGGAAAAAAAGAGCCACACTGCAACTTTGTTTCCCTGTGGTTTCAGGTAACCACCACAAGCTCTCCACTGCAAAGGAACACTGCACCGTGTTTATCCAAACACCAGACTTGATTCTTCTTCCCCCCATTTCCCCTGGCTTGTGCACCACGGCTCAATGCAGGGAGAGGCCAGACACCAGGAATGGGGGTGGTAAAAATGTTGTAATCTTCCATGGGAAAAAGGACTCCTGTGAGTAACTTTTCCCCAAACAACCAAAGCATTCTATTACTGTGTTCTGTTCCCTTCCCTAGCCCGGACCTAACCCTGCTGCCCCGCAGCATCACTCCCACCATCCTCATTTTGTGCCACTCCCATTTGTAAGGGGATGGTAAGGTCAGGGGGGTGTAATCTTCCAAGCAACGAAACACAGCTGTCACTAACTTTACACAAACACCTATATGTTTTCTACAATTGTCCCATCCCCAATCAGGAGCTTTCTAACTTGCCCCTTCCTTTCCCCCACACCAGACAGCTCTGGGACCATTGCTGCCAGACTGCTGGCTGAGAAATGCACAATGATTTTTCATTAATAATCTGTTTGTAAGACCCTGCTTTAGCTAAATGCATAATAGTTGTTGATTGAAAATCAATAAAATCATTGACTTATAGTAGTGTCTTTCTTGGGGACCATTTCGGGATGGAGCAAAGCAGGGGCTGGATGGAGGTTGGCGGAGTTGAAGGAATCTGGTAAGAGGACAGGGTGTTTGAACAGCACTGCAGTTCAAACTCAGAGACACAGCAATGCATGGCATATTATCCAGGGAGGAAAAGTCAGTGCACAAGTACTGCAAATGCCCTGAATTTTAAAATCAGGAGTACAGCACCAGAGCAAGAGGGGATATTGGCGAGGAGGGTGTGCATGGGGGTCCACTGTAACTTACCAGCCTTGAGTTCTGGTTCCTGCCACAGCTTGGGGTCCTCCTCAGTTTCATTAGGGGAGAGGCCTTCCTTAACCAGCTCCTCTGGGTCGCAGTGGAGAATCACATACTCCTTGTCCTCTGGGTCTTCTACAGTCCCCGCTGCCTCCTCACCCTGGCCCGCATTAGCTTCCTGTCAGACATTGAGGCTGGGAGACTTGAGGAAGGGAGCGTGAGCCACTTCAAGCTTTGTACTGGGAGCCCTTGACACCACCTCCTTCTGACCATCATAGAAGGAGCATGTACGACGAGCCTTCCCAGAGCGATTGTTGGAGTCTTTTGCTTTTCTGTCCAGGACCCTCAAGTGCTTGATGTGTTCTCAGTATGAGGACAGAGTCCCCTGAACTCCATCCTCTGTGAAATTTCCCGGTACAGATATTTGTTCCTGCACTCCAGGCAAGTAGTAGAGGACATTGTACTCTGAGCACACGTTGACTGGCATGTGAATGTGGCTAGTGGGTTGGGCGGCTGCTCTTGGAGCAAGATTCACATTCACCTATATTGAGCTAAAGAGTGTACGGAAAAGTTGTTTTGATGTAGTCAGTGCAGCTTGCTACTACTGGTGAAAACCGGGGTTGGGGGTGGGGGGAGGAAGGAAGGATGGACGGACAGACGGACAACAGAGACATTTATAGATTCGGTAAGGAGGGTTAGACAGAAACAAGTTCAGTGCATTGTGGGAATGGGGATGGAGGACTAGTGAAATTCGAGACCTGATACATGCCCCTTTCTGTCCGTCAAAACTGCAAACTGGCATGGGTGTGGGGCCATACATGTATTTGCCCACATTCCTCAGGCGTGTTAGCTTACGTACCCTCTACTAACCTTCAGACATGTGCTTCTGGAGTTTAGGTGTGGACAGTAGGGGGGTTATGGACATGCACTGATGTGTATAGTCGCTAGTGCGGATGTACCAATAGAATGCAAGTTCTCTGGGGCTGGCTCTCTTTTTTTGTTCCATGTTTGTACAGCATCTAGCACAATGGGGTCCTGGTCCATAGACTGGTGTTCCTGGGTGCTATGATAATATGAATAATAAATTATAATACCACCATCCTTGGGCACAGTATTTTTTTTGTACACTTACAGCTAAGGTCTGGCAAATTATCAAACAGTTTCAGGTAAGGTGGCCCAAGATTTGATTCTAGTCATGCATAACTATTACAAGGGTTTCAAACCTTCATTTGTTGCAGTTCCATCCTTGATCTTTTGTTTCAGAGACAGCAATATGTTTTGCACCTGCTCAAATATGAAGTCCACTCTTTCATCTTCCATTTGCCTCCAAAACATCTGTGCATCACCTGAAATGCACATTTCTGTTTACAACAAGAGCATACAGTTCCTAATGCCCAGATTTTAACAAGCATTTAGGTGCCTAAACATGCAGATAGGGACATAGTGAGATTTTCAAAGGCTCCTGGGCACTTTTAAAAATCCCACCAAACCCCTCTTTACATTTTTAGCCACTTAAATCTGGCCCTAAATATAAACTGAAAACGAAAGTGTAATCAAGTGATGTGCTTGAGGGGCTTTCTGGAGACTCAGAGGCATAGGCGCTGACTTTAGGTTTTGCACACTGGCTATCCCCCCCTTCCCCAGGGCCTCACCCCTGCTCCGCTCCCTCCCCTGAACGCCTCCTGCTGACTCCTTTCTGCCCCCTCCTGCCTTAAAAGGGCAGTGGGGGGGCAGGGCAGAGAGGAGTGAGCAGCAGGGCAGCCACCGCTCAACAGCGGACGGGCGGGGCAGCCCCAGGGCCACCAGAGCAGCAGCCCCAGCCAGTTCCACCCCTTATTTTTTCTCTGTGGGTGCTTGAGTCCCTGAGCACCCGCAGAGTCAGCACCTATGCTCAGAAGTGTCCTTTGTTAAAATTCTGGTACCATCAAACAGGAAGGAAGTTTAAAATCTTCTCTCTCTTTCTGGGTGCTGTTAAGTTATTCCTGCTAGAGATGTATTATAACTGAGGCTCATAAAAATAATTAAGAAGAACAAAATTTTTAGTTGACTGGATTGCATCACACAATAGGTATTTTTACCAAGCTTTTATACTTTTTCACATCTCCACAAGTTGATAACTGTGCTATCCTAAGAATATACTCAGTATATTTATCAGAAAAAACCCGTAAATATTTTCAGGCAAGTGCAGCTTAACACATTTGTTTGCCAAGTGGTGTTAGTTTTATTAACTTATACTACACCCAGAAGCATACCTCCCTCCTTGGGAATGGTTATAAAAAGCATTTTTTTTTAAAACGGAAAAACCAATTAATAAGAGTCCCTGGCACCACACTCCTCTCTCTTGCAAGGCACATGAGTCCACAGTCTACAGTCGACATGGGGAACCCTTTTTTGGGAACGCCTAGTGCTGCCAATATTTTAACTGGAAAGGTCTCTAATAAAAAGTGTATTCTTCAATGTGTCACAAAATCAGTCAGGACAAGGAAATGTATTATTAGTATTAAGATGCTCCTTCTTTGCCTATGAAAGAATCCAGGAAGAACTACAGTACATCTGTTTTATCACTTAACTAATTTCTAAATAACTTTATCATACTTAGAGAGGAATCTTTATGTTCTTGTCTCAGACTGCTAATTTGGATGGGTAAATATCCTCAGACATAAAATGGCTATGCATATTATCTTCTTAGAAGTCACAGGATAACATGTTTAGTACTTGCAAGGACATGAATAAATATTTCCACAGCTGGTATAGTTTCCTTAGGCAGGATGGTTTCTGTTTACCAAATATGACAACTGTTGAGTAATGTAAAGGAAGCTGGTTTCTGGAGGGGGAAGGGGAACACAAAGCTCTCTTATGAGTGCGAGATCAGCAACCATATGGATGGCAGCAATGGGCTCACCTTTAATATTAAGAGGCAAAATTTGGAGAGTGCTTTTTTCCATTAAGCTGATTGGATGGGGAGGGCACTTGCCATCTGCCAATACCTTCTCCCTAACCCTTATATTCACAGAGATAGCTAACACAAGGAAGACCAATGTCCATCCTGAAAACACACAAATTGGTCAGGTGGAATCCCACATCAGAGCTCCAACAGCCAACAAATCCTGAGAGACATCCCTGCACTACTAGAAGTGCTTTTATTCCTTGAGGAATTTTTGTTAAAAAATTGGAAAAAAGGTTATTTAAAAAAAAAAAAGAGTTATGTTAAATATTAGCAAATTCAATAGCAGATCTCAGCACAGCAAGATTACAACCCTGTACTGTTGCTTCCATGATTTACCTCTTTTCAGCTTTTTCAACAATTGTTGTGGCTGGATGCTAATGATGAACTAGATACCTCAAAGGATTGGCAATGGTACACAGAGCATTTCATCAGTTCCTCCGGGTCAGCAGTTCAAATCCAGCCCAGGGTCAACAGTGAATAAAAATTACTGTTATTACAGTTCGTGCTTTTTCTCTTCAAAGCACTTCACATATTTTACCTATTTTGCTAACATCCCAGGACAATAAGTTTGGTATAATTCTCTAGAAAGAATCATGGCTACTTGATGCCCCTACGTGAAATAAGTTCACATTCTCAATCCAATTCTCAGTGGACAGGTATCCACGTTACTAACGTCACCTCCACATTTGGCACCTTTTTTGGCAGTCCAAGCAGAGGCCAAGGGCCTGAAAGGCCATGGAGATGTAATCACTCTCTTAGCTGGAGAGCGACCACCTTGAGAGCTGAGGGAACTTGCACTGCGGATGCCTGTTATATTTACCCTGTCGTGGACATTATTTCAGGCTTCAGGTTGTCATTCCCACCATAATTTCCACAAGCACTACTCATTTATCACCATGTCCCCTCTGCCACCCATAAATGAAAAAAAATAGACGACATCACCTTCACCTCTCTCGCCACTGACATTGCTAAGGGTCTCCACATCCAGGCATTCAGATGTGACAGGCACAGTATAAACAGCTAGATAAAAAGATCAGAGAGAGATTATATGCTGGCAGCCTCTTGCTTCTTACCAAGTTTCTCCGAACTGCTTTCATTCAGCTAGCTTTACCAACAGTAGACATTTGAGAGAGCACTGCCTGAGAATGTACTTACAGGGGAAAGAGAAAACCATCCCACTGTCAAGGCTACACACGTTAGGATGTGGCCTTAGCAAGCTGCTACTAAAAGCAGCAAATTGAAATGGAGTCTGTGAGGTTGCATTCATTTTTATACAAGAATCATCTCCTATCAGCCCAAAAGTGACCAAGTGTTGCCAGACCAGCAATACTTTCTTGTAGTATTCAGTGAGGCATGTGCATTTTCTGCTTTCTTTTAGTGTATGATTCTCTTTTTTCTGTTAAAGTTGCCAAACACCAATTGCACTGAAAGTAAACTTCTCCAGAAACAGTGGCAGACCTATAGACTTCAGAAAAAACCCTGAATTTTGACCCCAGGAGATGCATGGCAAAGTAAAGATACTCAAGCAGAGTTAACAGGCTATAGGCACACATAAGATGGCACTTTCTCCATAGGAAGGATACAGTACTTCTGGCAAGTGCTATTGTGGACACAGAGAGTGCTGAATAATCTAAAGAATACAAGGTGTGTGCTACAAATATAGAGCCAGAAGTGCCAGAGAAAAGTAAATTGCTTCCAGTCCACTATGATATATAAATTCTTTTTAAAAAAATCAGCACAAACTCGAGGGCTTTAGTCAAACTGTGTCACGTTGGAAGCTTTAATCACTCTAATTTAGTTAGGTTGGGGTCTTGTTTTCAAATGAAGGCTGGCCAATCCTACCCAATTTAGTTATAAAAAGACTCCCTCAAAAGATCTGCCTAATGATTACAAATAATGCTTTATTTTTAATAAACTTACTTTTTTCTTCTTCCATTCTTTGAAGTAGTTGAATGCATGTATGTTATGCTTCAAAAAACAATTAGAACATTAACTGCACTAAATCATGGCTAGAATAGAACATTATGAACTTGCTGTCCTAAAACTGCATTCCCCAATTTATTACATTGCTCTTGGGGGAGTGCCAGATTCCATGCTGAATTAGGGGCACAATTAAATTTCCAATGTCAACCAATATTTAAGAAACATGAAACGAATCTTCAGATGCCAGCAACTCTTTATTGTTACAATGTGATCTCTCCAAAATCCTTAGTACTTCTTTTGGTCTCATAAAACCGCTTTTCATTCTCCTTTGCGCCAAGAAAATTCCATTCCTCTGTAAATTAAAGAAAAAAAATGTTTGAAGTAATTTACAGTGAATGTTTTCAAGATCAGGCATTACTTTCCACCACAGATAGATCAGAAATATGAAAGTAATATGACTAAACTGCTGCTAAATTGAATAGTTTTACAGTATACTTAAAAGCAATATTATCAAAGATCCGCCTACTTCTTCCTTTTGTACAGGCCACCAAAGAAAGAGGAGGATGGAAAAGCAACAACCCTCTCTCTGCATTGCACAGTCTAGTTGCCCAGAAAAGAACCTTGATGAGGTTACGTAATAATATTAATATAATTGATGACATGTTATGTACTCAATTAAAAAATTCAAGTCAGCATCTAAAAAAGTATTAAAAGTAGCTTCAGGAACTACATCTGTCCTGGAGTCCTACATATTTCCCCCTACCAGTCACATTTTTAAAAAAGAATGTTCTTCCCTTGCTTGAAAGAGTCAGACTATACAGGGAAAATAGTGAAGCTGGCTTCTTTCCTCTAAATCTTTTAGCTTTAATGATCTGGGAGTTACTTGTAATAACCGTAGATGCAACACAGAGAAATCTGATTTTTTAAACATTGATTGTGTAAGTTTTTATTTCACTGTATAAATTTTTCAAGGGTACACATTTGCAGATGCATTCTTGCCATCAAACCCCAATATCCATCAACATCTAAGGACCCAATCTTGCAACCAATAGTATACATGCTTAACTGCATACAAGTTGACTTAATTGTATGCCTGTGAGAAGTCTCACTGACAGGTGTGTACTACCGATTGGAGGTCCAGGACCTAAATAGGGACACTGACATGTTGGAGTGGTGGGTTACCATTCATCTGTAAGCTTCCAGGGAAAGGTTCTTTAATAAAAACTGCTCCAAAAGATCTGACAGAGAGAGGTTTTTGCAACCTAGGCAATGAAAAAAAAGGGAGACGAGAACTTCAAGAATTACGGCTAAATGTGATCCCCCCCCTCAACTGCATTTGCCCGTTGGGGGTAAGGGGGGTTGGCAACAAATTACATTAGGAAAGCCCAGCAGCTGTTAACTGGGGAGATAGGACTAGCAGGGTCCTTCCTTCCAACTCCAGCCAGACATCAGCAGCCCCTGTTTCCCGGGCCAGGCCAGCCCCCGCTGCCTTGCTAACGATACCCAGCACCCCTCCCTTTTCCGCGAGCGGGGACCTCCGAAACGCAGCAGTTACCGATCCACACAGGCTCGGCAGGGGCCGGGGAGCTATTGCTAGCGAGGGGACCGGCACGGATGGCCACGGCCCCAGCCGCTGCCAGCGGAGCGAATGCAGCAACCCCGCCGCTGGGCACCGAACCCACTACTGTACCTTTGCGGGCGAGGCCGCGCTGACGGAAGCCGCGCGCGCGCCGGCAATAGCGGGCTCGAGCCGGCCCCGGCGGGAGGAACCTCCCAGGGCAGCAGGGAGACATTAACCCTTCGCTCGCCCAGCAGCTACACACCCCGTCCTGTGGGCGTGGCCAGGCTCACCCCAGAGCGTTCGAGCCCTTCTTTCCGCTAGGCACAGGTAGCTCCCCGGCGCAGGCTCCCTGATTAGCGCCCACAGCCACCAACCACACCTCGCCAGGCAGGAGGCGGGCTTTGAACCCGGTGTAGTTTCGAAAGCCACGAGCGGATTGGACACAACCAGCTGGATGCGCGTGCGCATAGAAGACAGCGCGCGCGCACGCAACGGGGCGGAGCAAAGTGAGCCAATGGCTACCGGGGAGGGCCGCCGGACGGGTCCAGCCGGTTCGTGCGCCGTCCTCGCCTTTCATTGGCTGCGACTGACCTCGCGGGTTGCCAAACGGTGGCCAATGAAATCGGGCCATCGGGACTAGAGTCGAAGGAGCGGCGGTGGGTAAGGTAGGCTCGTCCGCCATGTTGGGTGAGGTAAAGGGGTGGAGCTAACTCGGGCGGAGTTTGTTCAGGCGGGTGCTGGGGGCTTTTGTTCTGTGGGTAGATGGGCTAACGGGGGGGCAGGATTTGGGGCCGAGGCGGGTTAACCCCGAGGGGGGCTTTTTGAGGGCGAGGCAGGTTAACCCGGGGGGGATTTGGGGCCGAGGCGGGTTAACCCCGGGCACCGGGGGTGGGGGGGTTATTCAAGGGGTTTATTTGTTTTCTTTCAAAGATTCGGATTATTCTGTTCGTAGTTCCCATCGGGTGGCATGGCCGCTTTCGAGGGGGAATATGGGTTTCTGCTCTTCCCGCCATGGCTCTAACATACCCCAAGAGGTGGGGACTGCCCTAAGCGTACCACCCCTGTAGTCTGTTTTATATAGTTGCTGCCTGGGCTCCTTTTTACACTGAACTCCCATTCACGTGACGTTGGCCTTTCTGTTGTGTTTGATGCTAATTCTGACACACAAAGATTACAGCAAGAGAAGCTTGAGAGTTGTGTTTTTTTTCCTTTTAATCTGTGTCGTGTTTTCAGTTACCCTGGCTTCCAGATCTTAAAGTCCAGATTTCTGTTACTGTAGTAAATAGAGTGAAATAACGCTGGCTTTTTGTAGGCTGGAAACAGTGGGAGGAGATGCATCTCCTAAAGAGATGTAGTGGAGAGAGATGGCGTTGCAGTTGGTGGTTACTGAAAAGAACCATTTCCAGGGTTGGCTGCTGAGCCGTGCTTCAGGCTGAGGTGGAATTCAGATTTCTCCCTCACCTTCTTGTTTTATACTTTAGACCAGTTTTATTTTACAGTTGTGTTTTGGTTTATTTTAGTCTTGCAGTCTGCAGGGTAAGATTGCAAGCAGTACTTAATGTGTATTATAATTGCAGATGGAATCTAAATTAACTAACCACTCAAGAAAGATCTTGGAGTCCTTGTGGATAGTTCTCTGAAAACATCCACTTGATGTGCAGTGGGAGTCAAAAAAAAAAAAAGGGGGGGGCCAAACAGAATGTTCAGAGTCATTAAGAAAGGGACAGATAATAAGACAGAAAATATTATATTGCCTCTACATAAATCCATGGTATGTCCACATCTTGAATACTGCATGCCAATGTGGTCGCCCAATCTCAAAAAAGATATATTGGGATTGGAAAAGGTTCAGAAAAGGGCAACAAAAATTATTAAAGTTACGGAACGGCTTCTGTATGAGGAGAGATTAATAAGTCTGGGACTTTTCAGCTTGGAAAAAAGATAACTAGGGGGATATGATAGAGGTCTATAAAATCATGAGTGGTATAGAGAAAGTAAATAAGAAAGTGTTAGTTACTCCTCGTAACACAACAACTAGGGGTCACCAAATGAAATTAATAGGCAGCAGGTTTAAAACAAACAAAAGGAAGTATTTTTTCACACAGTCAACCTGTAGAACTCCTTGCCAGAGGATATTGTGAAGAGAAAGACTATAACAGGGTTGAAAAAAGAAGATAAGTTCATGGAGGATAGGTCCATCAATGGCTATTAGCCAGGATGGTCAGGGATGGTGTCCCTAACCTCTGTTTGCCAGAAGATGGGAATGGGTGACAGGGGATGGATCACTTGATGATTACCTGTTCTATTCATTCCATCTGGGGCACCTGGCATTGGCGACTGTCGGAAGACAGGATACTGGGCTAGATGGACCTTTGGTCTGACGCAGTATGGCAGTTCTTATGTTCAGATACGGGGAAGCTTTTCCATGTCTGTGATCACTTGGGGTCAGATACCTAGACATGCTACTTAATGCAAGTAGTCTCATTTGCAGAATTGAACCTCTGAAGGCCTAGAAAGTTTCTTAAATTTAACATAATTAAAAATAAACTAAGGTGTCATCCACTGAGAGATTTATTTGTCTGAATGCCTGTCAACTACTAAATGTAAATAAGCAGCAGGCACTTATAAATATTAGCTGTCAGACATTTACATGAACACAGTAAATTAATTACTTCAGTTTTCATCTCAGACTGTCACCTGTGACTTCTCTTTAGTACCACTTAACAGTTAGAGATTGCAGTTGTGTGCAAATACAAATTCTTACAATAACTTACATTATTTTTTTTAAATAATCTATTGTTACTATAGATTTTATACCAGCTTTAAAATCTGACATTTAAAAAAAAATCTTTAAAAAAGCATATACATGCAAAGTTTACAAGATATTTTTTCAAAAAATATCAATACACTCACAAATAGATTTTTTTTTTTCAGCACCTATATCATACTTTAATGGAACATAACAGTTCATGTGTTGTTTCAGAACCATTTTATATTATAGAGAGAAATCTAACATAAATAATAGCCTGGGTCCTTCCAGTCTTGGGAATATTAAGAGAGTATTAACTTTTTTTGAGCGGGAGGGAGAGAGGGAAATAGCAATTTAATTCATACTCAAGAAAACATGACATCATTCTGTTGAACACCTATCAAAACCAGAATACTCTGGAAGAATTTGATGTCATGTATCTGCCACTTCATATTGTTTAAAATTTATTTATATATTTTGTTTGAAGTTCACTGGTTAGTTCATGAGTAGTGTCGATGGTTTTAAGTAATTGACGTGTACAGGGAGAATTGGGGCTATTAATATTGATGTTATCAGAAGCAGGACTGGGTCAAATATTGTGATGACAAATCTCTAAGTTAAAAACAGTACCTTACATTTAAAAAAAAAAACCCTCTTTCATCACAGTATAGATTATTTTTCTCCTCCGAGAATATAATGATAATGAAATGAGACAAAGTATTTCCTTTTAACATAAACCACTGTATATACAAACAAATACAAATTCTAAGGAACAGTTCCTTCCTATGAAACGCATTTGCAGTTGTGTCACTAACTCCACCAAAGTCTAATGTCAAAGGACTATGTTAATGCTAGGTTTTGGGTGTTTATTAAACATGACTTCTTTGTAAAACAGCTTTGGCTTGCATTCTAGAAAGGTCTTCCTAAATTTTATTTATTTTTATAAATTGTATGTGCACTTGGAAGCTAAGTAATCAATCATCACTACCAGGCTTGAGTGTTTTAACAAGGTATAAAACTAACCACATAACTATGTTCGTTGCTTATACTTTTTATATCATGCTGTGCCATAAAAAATCTGCATGCTGGGAATGTGGTTATTTCATGAAAATCCAAGCATTGTGTAAACATTTTCTTATTTTTGATTTTAATTACTTTTGTATTTGTTCTGTATGATGCTACCTAGAATATTTGTTTTGTTATAAGAAAAAAGATTGAGAAATAAATAAAAATTCTCATGTTCCTACGTACCAGCATGGTATTTTCATTGTCTGCTCACCTGATTAGTTTAAGAAGAGTTTGTGTCTGTATGATGGTGTAGTGGCTGTTATATATTTCATGGCTGTAAACAGCAAAATGGGCCGGAGCTTCTCTTCAACAATGCAAAGTTTTCTGAAACGTATTAGGAATCCAAATGTGATTCATCGATTCCAAGGCCAGATGAGACCATTGTTATCGTCTAATCTGATGTCCTGTATAACAGGCCATAGAACTTCCCCAATATAATTCCTAGAGCATATCTTTTAGAAAAATATCAATCTTGATTTTAAAATTGTCAGTGATGGAGAATCCATCTCCATCTTGGGTAAGTTTCAGTGGCTGATTACTCTATCGAAAATTTATGCCTTATTTCCAGTCTGAATTTGTCTGCTTTCTTCAACTTCCAGCTATTGAATTGTGCGATACTTTTCTCTAATAATGGTTTCTTCAATCCAGCAAATACTTGTTCCCCATGTAGGTACTTATAGACTGTAATCAAGTCACTCCTTAACTGTCTTTGTTAAACTAAATAGTTTGATCTCCTTGAGTCTGTCACTATAAGGCATGATTTCTGATATTCCAAATATTCTCGTGTTTCTTCTCTGAACCCTCTGCAATTTATCAACATCTTTGTTGAATTTTGGGCACCAGAATTGGACACAGTATTCCAGCAGCAGTTACACCAGTGCCAAATACAGAAATAAAGGATTGCATTAGCCCTTTTGGCCACAGCATTGTGATGGGAGCTCATCTGTAGTTGATTATCCACCACAAACTCCAAATTTTTTTCAGAGTCATTGCTTCCCAGGGTAGAATCCCTCATCATTTAAGTACGGCCTTCATTCTTAGTTCCTAGTTGTATACGTTTACATGTAGCCATATTAGAACACATTCACTTGCATCCAGCTTATCAGGCAATCCAGATTGCTTTGTATCAGTGAGCTGCTTGTTCATTATTTACCACTCTCACAATTTCTGTCATCTGCAAACTTTTAGTGGTGATTTTATGTTTTCTTCCAGGTCATGAATAAAAATGTTAAATACTATAGGGCTAAGAACATCCCTGCAGGACCCCATTAGAAACACACCTGTTCAATGATGATTCCCCATTTACAATTATATTTTGAGACCTATCAGACAGCTTTTAATCTGTTTAATGTACAATGTTAATTTTATATATTTCAAGTTTTTAATCAAAAAGTCATATGTTACCAAGTCTAATGCCTTACAGAAGTCTATTGTATCAATATTGTTGCCTTTATCAACCACACTTGTAATCGCATTTGAAAATACAAGTTAGACACGATCTGTTTTCCGTAAACCTATGTTGATATGCATTAATTCTTTATTAAGTGAGTCCCGTATCAGTGCTCCATTATCTTGTCCAGGATCAGTGTCAGACAGACCTATAATTACCTGGGTC